CACAAACTTGTTTACTTGTTCCTTTTGACGATTTTAACTATGAGATAAATAGAAGTTTTATTAATGCACCCTGCCTTTTATTTATTCATTCAAAGAGGTCACAAATTTGGCAAGTCTGTCATTTCATATGCACGACATATTAGATTTTATTAGAAAGTTCTAGAAAATGTCATAACTATATTTTCATATCACTTTTCAATTTGGTTATTTCAGAGAGGCGGACAAATGTTTGTTTCCTTCACCCTGTTCAGAATCAGTACATTAAGACTCGATAGAATATTTTGTTCTGGTAGATGACGTATTGTTTTACACATACAAAAACGAAATCGATCGTTTGAATTGTATCCAAAAATACCGCGAAATCCCTTGTCTATTTATTAAAAGTCATATTAGACAGCATACGTATACCTTCTTGGATGATCCAGACGAGAAGATTTGCGTACAGATATCTCTGCATTTGGTACAAGCACTCGTTGGATCTCTCGAGCCATTGTTCGCTGCTCTTGGCAACCGATTGTTATGTACATCAGCGTCTGACTCTGTTTTCTTGATTTGCTCGCATCGAACGATTCGTTCATCCAAAGTATGCACTCTGTAAGTCAAATACCCCACAGACAGTATTGTCAGGGCTAAATTCAGCAATACACCAAGCTGAAGTATACAATTCGTTTTACATTTTCCACTGCCCTCCATGACTTTATGAATATGCCAAAACGTGCATATCTTATTTTGATGCACCTCTTAGTAATATGAGTATTAATCTAAGTAAAGGTCATGGAAATAGTAGAACTGATACAGCAATAACGGAAGTTGTTATTAGATTCCGTAAAGAAATAAGGAAATGTAATTGAAGCTTAAAAACCTCTATAGTTTTTAGATCGACTTTTGTACTAATTGCAACGTTTCCTTAACATCACTGACATCAAAGTCAAGTTTATTATTATTATTTTTATTTTTTTTGCTTAGAAGTTACATGAATGAAGTCTTGACCTGCAAAATATTAGCGTATATACTTTTATATTTTTACTATTTTTAAAATAAAGGTATTACATTATTATATGAAAATAAAGAATTATGAAAGAAACTGAAAAAAAGGAAGAAATGAAACGAAAAGACCGAGCCTAGCGTGCGAAATCATATTTACTAGTCCGACATGAGTGCAGCCAGGGTGGGTGTGTCAACATAATCATCGTGAAGAAACAAGACAATAAGAAACTTGCTCTGGAAAGTCTTTCTGAAACAAGAAATGACTCTAAAGACAGATGTAAAGACTATAGTTCACACAGACCACATAACAGCATAAAAATTATTACCGTTATTACAAAAATATTAATACCAACATCAAACATTCTCGATCTGCCATTTTGATTCTGATGTGAGCAAAATAAGAAATAAAGCCAATAACTACAACTTTACTTTTCTTCCAGGTATCGTTATGTCGGTGTCTCTTCAGGTCGCCCCTATATGAACCAGGCTGTGTGGCTCTACCACAACGTAACAACATGATAATATTCTCAGCATAGCATGAGATGTTTGTACGGTGTCATCATCATATTCACTGTGATTATATTTCCACGATTTTATGACAGCGGAATTATTTTTATCGCAAACCACCGTTGCAAAACTCAGTCTGAATTTGTGCTTTTCTGAGCCGTCAATCATCTGACGTCTGTAAAACGTAGCTGCGGATCGGACAAGCCGACTCGTTAAACTCCGTTGAAATTTCAAAGATAAAATTGATAAAGTTCTCCGTAGTCTGTAACGTAAAATACAACTACAACAAAAAACCTAAAACTTAAAACAAATTAACCAACATACATGTGAAAATTACTCAAAAATATATATTCCATGATTATAAAAGTCTTATAAAATATTACAAGTTTAAGAGAGGTTAAAATATTAATATTTTTTAAAGGGTTTTTTTTTTGTGCGCGCAAATCGTTGAAACAGGACTTCATTTGTGTTTGTATTAATTACTAGTCATGTAGTACTTGTGGGTTTAAGTTTACTTTTACTTATTATTTCGCCTTGTTTTCAATTCAATACTTTTGTGTTCACTAATGTTTATTTACGCTTACACAATAGCTACTCAGTAAAAAATAAAAGATCAGCTCTTTAATAGCACATCGTCTGTTGGAGCTTCATGTATAAGAAAGTATTTTGAGAAAATAGAGGATATTACATGTAAGCACGCGATGATACGGCTTTTATCTTCGAGTGTTGAAAAAATCTCTTACGAGTGAGCATAGCGACGGATTTTCAACACAAGAAGACTGAGAAAATAAAATTTGTATCTCCAAGAGACCATGTAATATTCTGTTTATCATATAATTATCTATGAAAGCAAATTTTATCTTAAAATAACTTTTATTTCCTTCCAACATATAGAGGTACAACGAATCAGTTATTTTCTCTGTGAAAAAAAAAAACACTTCGGAAGGAGGAAAAATTTGTTACTTGGCGTATTTTTTTTTCTCGGCATGCACTTTTTTCAATTTCCTAGAAAAAATCATTTAGAAGTACTTTTGAAAATTTTGTTCACATAATTTGGCTAAATGTGCACTTGGTCTGATGCCATTAACGTGATAGTACGTTTCTATAAAAAAAAGTCCCAGCTATTTCTATGTAATTTGATATCAAACGAGAGAAATAAACGATATAAAAATTAAGGAAACATTTAAAGATAACTACTCGCTCCATGCATTTACTACCAATATGCAAATTGACCACCTATCACAACTGCAATGCGTAGACATAATCGGCTTACGCGTTGCCACGTACATTATCACCCAATTCAAGTCCTGTGCGAAAAAAACTTTTGTTTCTAAGAATTCAACTGTGAAATGAAAATACAACGAACAGTGAACTTACTCCGGTGGTTTGAATTGAGTGGAAACGTTTATAGCAGCGCGTTAGCCGATCAGGTCTATTTCCTGTAAATATCGTATGTGTTAAAAGCGGCATCGATATATTACGTGGGATCAGAAGTACATAACCAGAAGTGTCCATCTCCCCAATAATATCGACACCATCAGATGTCCCGATGATCTATTTTTAGACAACCAATCACAACGCGCGCACATGCATATTACACGACACCTGATTGGTCCTTGTTGATCTACTTCAAGAGCGGACAAGAAAGGAAAATTATGTAGTCGATGGAGGCGAACGAATTGAAGTTCGCATTTACGAGAATTTTACACCTTTTGCTGAACAACCATTTTTGAATTCGATAGAAAACATACTTTACTATATGAGTAATGTAGCGAAGAAGGAAGTTCAAGAGCAATATGGTCTGCGAAAACAAGGGAAAAGTTCAGACAAAGATGAAGAAAAATGTAAAACAGCGTGCGAAAAAAGTAGTCTGAAGTAGCTTTCTTACAGTCAAATAGAGTCGGACTTAAACAAAGCCAAAGGTAAAGTAATTGTCGATGGAAAAAAGCTGTAAATTTTCAGGTAGGCGGGGTTTGTTTTGAAATTCAAGTTAGTTATCGATATTTCTTTGATGACTTTTGTTGTTTGTGGCTTTTCATATTAACTTATCTTGTTTGTTAAAATGATTTCGTTATTACCCTCTGTACCTATTCGCTAGTTTGTTTATTCCTCGCTTTTTCTTTCAAAGAACAATCATTTTTCAACTCCTTACACAATGAAGAGTTCACAATATAATATGAACTTAATTTGAACATCATTTTGCTAAAAGAGTTTTTGATTGACTTTTTGTGACTTTTTACGCACTCGGGCATCGTTTTGTATTAGTTTTCCATATTTTTATAAAGCTATTTAGATCCTAAAATACCTTTACTACAATTCTATGTATAGTCTAAGGGCTTTTTAATTCTATTAGAACAGATTTGTTATTAAAACGAGAACAATTCTCGCCACAAAAATCACATTTTTGAAGACATTTCTTTGCACTCCTTTTGTCTGCATCTTTTTCATCTTTGTCTGAACTTTTCCTTTGTTTTCGCAGACCATATTGCTCTTGAACTGCCTTCGCTACAAAGTAAAGTACGTTGTCTATCAAATTACTTAACCTTTGGTTTTGTTTAAGTCGACTCTATTTGACTGTAAGAAAGCTACTTTAGACTGTAGAACGTTCTATAAAATATTACTAATTATGTCGGCCTAGTGCCGCATAACAGTACTTTAGACTGAATGTTATGTACTTCTGGTGGGATCCCTTTGTTTTGTTAGAGTTTCTTTCACCTAAACCTCTAAGCCATCTTGACGAAACACTTCGATCTCGTCTGGCTGAAAGTTGCGCGATCCTGCAAGAAGGTTCCTTGCTTTAGTTGATCCAGCTGTGTAGCCCTTAATCAGTACATAGCTACTACCAAGTTCCGTAAAGGAGTTTGTGTTGCTACCAGCATTATTACTAATATATATGTCATTGGTTCCAAAGAGTGGTCCGTAGCTGCTACCTCCATAAATTGCATACTGCGATCTGAAAACTTTCATTTTAAATGGCTTCAAGTTATCTTTGTTTACGAATGAAAACAGGAACGAGTTGACTGATTTGCTGTAAGACCCTTTGGTATCTTTAAAAGAAAACAATTATAATACGTTATTGTGAGCATAAAAAAGCTGTACCAATGTGATGGATGTTCTTTGTTAACCCCCAAATATAGCAAAGATCAACAACTGGAATACTTACGCCAGCTGACGTCTGTATAGCCTCCAAATATGTATTTGTTCACTTTGATGATTGTAATAGTCGGACCTTTACCATCACACTTTGCGTGGAATGTTCTACTGGCCCATCCGTGAAGTCTGCTTTGGTAGCATGGTACCCATGTTATTGGCTTGTTTGTCACTGGAGCCAGCCATTCTTTTATTAAGTCATAATAATCCCCTCGATATTTTAGTATGTTTGAATACAATGTCTGCCCTGAAAAAACTGATATCATATTTATTTAGTAGTAACAGTGGCTTAGCCTTGTGGAGGGAGAGTAATGCCATGCATAAACTACGACTAAAATAGCATTGATACTGAGATCTACAATGTAGCGCGCTTCTGCTTTCCGGGAGGTTAGTGTTCAAATTCAGAGCGGACACGTGATCAACTGATTTGTCCTCTGATTTCTCGATAATCTTGATCAATTTGTTTCTCCAACTACAAATTCATGAATTATAATGACTTGTCAACAGCAGAAACCGTAGCATACCTTTCTCCAAGAACTTATCATTCTGCACAGAGCCAAAGAAATTTGCATTTGTAAACGATGATAAAAATAGTGTTGGACGAGTGTCGACACTTACACACAATCTGAATATTTAAACATTCATAAGGTTTGAACTGACTTATAAACGTAAGATAATGTGTGTAGCCCGACTGTGGTCTCTAGAAGTAAAATACGCAACTCCTAACATTTTTCAAGTCRTTCTAAATTGTCCTCATAAGGCAAATAAAGACATTTACTTACATTTACACTGCGGTTTTTCGGTGGTAAAATGTCCATTCAATTCTTTCCAATGTCCTGTGTTCGGATCACAAAGGAGCTGGCGGTTTCCACTGAGCCAGTAACCGTGATTACAATTGAAAGTGATAGTGCTRTTGGCCAAGAAATGACCTACAATGTATCCATTTTCAGGAGGTGCGATCTCAGGACAAAKACGATGGCCTGTGAGACAGAAATTCTGATCACTTATTGAGAAGCGTTAACTACATGGCCTTCCAAAGGAAGACCATGTCTAAAATTACCGACAACTTTTCGTGTTCTGTCATATGCTTCAAAGTGATACATCCGGGACCTTTTCTTCTTATTGTCATCATGTTTCTTAGCAACGATCTAAGCTTCACATACCAACAAAGTTTAATAGCTTCTAAAAATACTCAAATCTATTACAAACCCACACACCATTCGCGGTATAGCCACACTAAAAGATGTCGACATTTGAACAGAATACCGCGAATTTATCGTGAATCTACACGGCATATCGCTTAATTTCAAACTATCAGCCAAGCTATCTTTCTTATCAAAAGCGAAAGAGATAAGCTAACAAATCATGCAGCCTCTGAAATCACAAAAAGAATACCAACAGAGTTTATACTGAGGAAAAATGGATAATTTTTCATTAAACCATATATTTTTTGCTTTATTGATAGTATTATCATTATCATTTTCACATTGTATTAATGTTTTGTGGTTAAATATGCATAGTTAACTCTGTTTAGTGATTTCAATCATATTCACAAAGTTTGACCTAGAATGTTTCATTTCGGAGTTATGGGGTAGTAACTCATTTTGAGACCCAGCCATTAGGTCACTTCCATCAAAACGCACAAAATCTAAAGTATAGGGGGTGTGGTATTTATACTATGTAAGCATAACCAAGGAACTGCAGGTAGTGCAGCATGTTTGTATGTCACCACAGATTTCATATATCTTGTCTAACTTTGATTATAAAAGGTAGTCATGTGACTATGCTCAGCTTAAAACACTATAGCTCTAAATGTAACCCTAAGAATATCTTAACCTTAATCCTGACACCGCAAACCTAATCCAAATGTCAAACCTAACCCTAAGCTTCAAAAAACACAGTCAAAACCGTGGGTCACGTGACCCTCATTTTTGAGTTTAACTCATTGACGTCCGTGGATATTTCGTTGATATTCAAGCATTTTTCGATCCAAAACATAAAAAATTATTTTGACCTCCATATATGGAGCTGTCAATCAAACTTTTTTGAATCAAACTCCCTAGGGAATGTACATTTCAGAGACGCCTTGGGAATTCAAGACATCTCGTTTGATTAGCGAGTGATCGGTCTTTTAAACATTCGCCAAAAACGGCCTTTATAAGTGCTTTTTTGAGTCATTTTCTCAACAAAGAGCCCCTAGGAAGGCATCATAAAGCTCGACTAGGTGGTAGAGAAACTCTTCTGGAAGACATCAGAAGTGAGAAGCGATTCTTCGAGGAGAACGGTTGCAGGACGAGGTTTGTTTTGAACTGAAGTCGTTTGATTAAAATCGCTTTTTTGGCAGATTTCCGAGGCTACCAAGGTAAANTCTAAAAATACTCAAATCTATTACAAACCCACACACCATTCGCGGTATAGCCACACTAAAAGATGTCGACATTTGAACAGAATACCGCGAATTTATCGTGAATCTACACGGCATATCGCTTAATTTCAAACTATCAGCCAAGCTATCTTTCTTATCAAAAGCGAAAGAGATAAGCTAACAAATCATACAGCCTCTGAAATCACAAAAAGAATACCAACAGAGTTTATACTGAGGAAAAATGGATGATTTTTCGTTAAACCATCTATTTTTTGCTTTATTGATTGTATTATCATTAAAAAAAATTATTTTTGACATTGTAGTAATGTTTTGTGGTTAAATATGCATAGTTAACTCTGTTTAGTGATTTCAATCATATTCACAAAGTTTGACCTAGAAAAAATGTTTCAGTTCGGAGTTATGGGGTAGTAACTTTTGAGACCCAGCCATTAGGTCACTTCCATCAAAACGCACAAAATCTAAAGTATAGGGGGTGGTATTTATACTTTGTAAGCATAACCAAAGAACTGCAGGTAGTGCAGCATGTTCATATGTCACCACACATTTCATATATCTTGTCTAACTTTGATTATCAAAGGTAGTCACGTGACTATGCTCAGCTTAAAACCCCCGGGAAATTGAAACAAAGACGCTAACCCTAGCTCTAAGTCTAGCCCTAAGCTTATCTTAACCCTAATCCTGACACGGCAAAACCTAATCCAAATGTCAAACCTAATTCTAAGCTTCAAAAAAAAATTTGTGAAAACCGTGGGTCACGTGACCCTCATTTTTGAGTTTAACTCATTGACGTCCGTGGTTATTTCGTTGATTTTCAAGCATTTTTCGATCCAAAACATTAAAAATTATTTTGACCTCCATATATGGAGCTGTCAATCAAACTCCCTAGGGAATGTGCATTTCATAGACGCCTGGGAAATTCAAGACATCTCGTTTGATTAGCGAGTGATCGGTCTTGAATTCGCCAAAAACGGCCTTTATAAGTGCTTTTTTGGAGTCATTTTCTGCAAAAGAGCCCCTAGGACGGCATCATTAAGCTCGACTAGGTGGTAGAGAAACTCTTCTGGAAGACATCAGAAGTGAGAAGCGATTCTTCGAGGAGAACGGTTGCAGGACGAGGTTTGTTTTGAACTGGAGTCGTTTGATTAAAGTCGCTTCTCTGGCCAGTCCTTTTGTGGCAGATTTCCGAGCCTACCAAGGTAAACTTTGGGAAGTTTTAACAACTAAAGAAAGCAATCGGTGCAATATTTTGCCTGTAGGTGCGTGTGACTCACTTATAAAAAATGCTAGAAAACGAGAATCCTGCATACTTCATGTCGAATTATGGAATAGTTACATACGATGCAAAAATTGTGCTACAAAGAGAAATAACATATCTAGTTAGTGAAAGAAACCTCAATATCTGCTATGTCTCCTGTACGTCACGTACATGCAAAATTTGTAAAACGTTTTAGTGCAAGTTAGAAAGAAACAAAAAAAAAATACATACATGATGGAATGGAGTTGCTCCATGCACCATTTTCCAGACAAAGTCGGTTGGATGGTCCCACCAAGTAATAACCRGGATCACAAGTATAAACTACCATATTTCCAGCCCAGAACTCATTGCCAGTGCGATAGCCATTCAATGGTTTTCCAGGATCACCACAGGTCAATAGAGCTATAAAAATACGCGCAATTTATTCAGGAATTTTATTGTTCACGGTTTATGGATTGTGGACTTTGTTGTAGGTTTTAGTGAATTGTTGGAATTAGTAAGCATTCTTAATAATAGATAGGTGGGAAATACGGAGGTTTGGATATAGTACCATCGTGGTAACAAGGCTTCATTTATATGATGAAGTAATTCTTATGCCGAATAAGACTTTCTCAAGTCCTCTTTACAACATGGTCTTAGATATTCAAAATAATTGTTTAATACCTCCACAACACAGATGTAACCGTGAAGTAGGGATGACTTAGGTATGTTGCATGCTGTGGTAGTATGCAAAAAATATCGTCCCTCATTCGACCTTTACTTACAGACTTGTATTGTAGTTTCGACCGTTCCATTCTCGTAGTTTCTAAAAAAGCATTTGTATCGTCCTTGATCTTGAGGCATGAACGGATCAATGACTAACTCGCCTATAATTCCTTTATTGGTCTGGCGAACTGTAGTGTTTACAGATAAATGTCGGCCATCTTTGGTCCATTCGATCGTTGGCAGCGGTGATCCAGTAGCCGAGCAGTTTAATTTAACGCGGCTCAACAACACGGTCAGGTTATTAGGAGAGGATTGTACGATGACTGGAGCAACTGGAAATACAAAAAACCATTATCAAAAACTTCAGGACAATACTCTCAGAATTGAATATGTGTTATTTGAAATACATAATTTTTACACATTTGTATAAATTTTGAACGATTGTCTCAAAGTATTGTAGAAGTTGATAAAGACATCCAATTGCTACTTACTGACAGGATAGAAATTAAGCACTACCAAAGCTAGTACATTCCCTTGGTTATTAMTTCCCTTGCACATGTAAGGTCCCTTATCCTCTCTTTTTGTATTCATGATAACAAGTCGGTTACCAATCTTTGCATGTCGTCCTTTAGGCATGGCTTGCAATGCTCGTGTCCACTCGATMYGCGGAGCWGGAAACCCAAATATATTGCATGTGATGGTTGTGTTCCAGTTTTCATAGCCAGCGAGGTAAACTGGAGGCTGAACTACGAATYGTGGAGGAACTATGRRTAAAACTTTCATGTTAATAACTATCCATCATTCAGGGCGGTTAGGGCAGACTCTTATAAAATATGTTATGAAAAATGAAGCCTTCAAACGAATCTCGAATATGCGATTAACTGAAATGTGTAGTACTCATTTGCCTGAGCATAAACCATTTCTTTAAAGCTAATCAAAAATAGTCTATAATGTTTTCTGATTGACATTACCATTTACAACAAGTTTCATTTTCGCTGTTGCTTGACCAATGAAATTCTTTGCTTTCAATAAGTAAACCCCGTGGTCTTCGAACTTGACATTGTTTATTCGTAGAGCACCAGTTGCATAGAATCGCTCGTCTACTTTCTTGTTGTCTTTGTACCACGAGATTTTAGGAATAGGGAAACCAGAGGCTTTGGAAGGAATGACCACATTATCGCCTTCTTTGGTAACAAGAACAGATGGAGGTCTTTTGGTTATTTTTGGAAGAGCTTACAAAAAAATTAAAAAGTACATGAGTTTGTATATTTTACATTTATTTACTATTGAATAGTTCGTCTTGGTTTTATATTTTGTTTTTCTCAAATACCCACCAAGGGAATGGATAATCGATGAAGCATTTCCAGAGAGCGCTCTTCCTGGCACTCCCCTCGGTCCCTGCGGACCTGGTAGTCCAGGTGGACCTTGTTTTCCAGGAGATCCTCGAAATCCTCGTTTACCACGTC